AAAATATTTAGCTCCCTTTAAAATCTTGATTGTGAATTTATATTGCAAAATGCAATGTCTGACTCAGGAAGCAATAAGTAGAGCAAATGTATCTGAAGCACTCTAGAAATTCCATTTGTTTTTCTTCCATGATTCTTATTCTGAAAGTACTTACTCTTAGACAAAGTGAACTGTTAACAGAAGAGCAGGTCTGGCTCAGTGAAGCTCTATGCGCTTTTCAATATTAATTACACACAGAGCACTCAGTGCTCAGTGAGCAAAACTAAAAGTTACACTGTATGCCAGTGGAGTTGCTTCGGGAAGTTTCTCTGAGGGTCGTAAAACGCTTATGTTAGAAATGCAGCACCCGGGGTCTTGTGTCATTCTTTAAAAACACTCAGGCAGCAGGGAGTTAATGACATTTTAGCTGCATATGTTCAAGTTTATTTAAAAAAATATGCAAGTCACTTTGGTTGACAGTGTCTCGTACACAGTTTTGAAAGAATCAGGGCAAACTTTAACAGAGTCAGTTTTTATTTGAAAAATATTTTCTGGGAATGTATCAGTGTTTATTTTTGAGACTGACAATTCGGGTGAAAATCAGGATAAAAACAAAACAACAACAATTTGGTTGAAATCAAATTGTTTGTTTTCATCTATTTAGAATTCTTTCCAAAAAATCTTGGTTCTGGAGGAGGCTTTTTAATTTATTTTATTCAGTGTATTTGCTATTCTATTCAGGCACCATCTGTCTTGCAGGTAGCTAACTTTGCAGAAGCTCCTAAGTCAGTGGGAAAAGCCCCCGGCCTCTGGGAAAGACCAGAGCAAACTAGGTGACCACCTCCAAGTCCCAACTCAGGCAACACGCACCTGCGTGCTCCCGTAGGCCTCCCTCCCCCAGCCGGGCCTCCTCCCCGCCGTCCTTGTTTCTGGAGCCCCCTCCTCTCCTTGCTCCTGGCCTCCGTGGCCGTCCTCCCTTCCTCTTCTGTCTCTGCTTCCCCCACTTGTTTTCAGCTCTAGCCTATGAGTCCTTGGGTGTAATGAGATAATTTCGATGATCTTGAATATAATCACATATGGCTGCTGGATCCATGCACAAGTTTCTATCAAATTAGAAAGTAAATTCTCTGCCAAGAATGCTTAAAAGTCATAGGGCCAACTGATTAACCACTGACAAGTCAGTTTCAGACTCTGTTTTTAAACTGTAAGTGATTCATGTGAAGGGACGAAAAGGGAATCACTCCGCAGACTGAGCACTGAGGACTGAACCTAACAGCCTGTTCCGGACGACGGCTCCAGAAAATGCAAGTCAGCTAAACCGTGTTCATCACCAAATAAGTCTACAGACACAGAGTCATTTTGATGGCTAAGATAATGCTCTAAGTCGACAGATCATTTCTGTCTTCCCTCTCGCAGATGCCATTCTCCTCCAGACACGACTCATGTTTCCTCACCAGCTGGTGTGCCCTTCCTGCCAGATGTTACGGCCCCAGGCTCCAGGTCAAGACCCTGACCTGCTCTGAGCTCTCAGGCCTTGCCCAAGCTCCCCAGGGACCCGCATCCCTCACCCCAGATGCCACCCCGCTCCCTCACGATGAAGGTCTCTGCCTCCCAAGAAGAGGCAGGTGCGACCGCCAGCCTAGCCCTCAGGCAGAAGACCCTTGCTGCGCCTGGACAGAACCGGGGGATCGTATCTGGGCAGAGCTGGGTCAGTGCTTCAATGGCTGGTTTCTCCACAGGACCAGTATAAACATTTCATGACACTTAAAAAGCCATTTTCTAGAAGATTT